ACGCTCGATTTGATTAATGAGCGTATATTATCTGTTGAGCAAAGTGTAAAAAGCCTAACAGAATCAATCGAGTTTGCGCATGGAGAAATTCGTGATTTGAAGGAGGAAATGGTGAAAAGAAAGGAGACGGAGCGAGAAAACTACTCACGGATCAAGGAACTGGAAGATTCGAATCGGCGGTTACAAGACAGTGTGGTCGACCTCAAAGCGAGATCAATGCGGGACAACCTGTTGTTCCACAATATTGATGAAGCAGAAGAGGAAGATTGCACTGAAGTGATCTATAGCTTGTTGGAGGAAAAACTTGATATGCCAGAAGCAAGAAGCAGCATGAAGATCGATCGAGCGCACAGAGTTGGTAGGAAACGCGATGGCCGCAGAAAACCGAGAGCCATCGTTGCAAAATTTAATTTTTTCCCCGATCGGGAGAAAATTCGCTTCAATGCGAAAAAATTAAGGGGAACAAAGATCGGTATCTCCGAACAGTTTCCCGAAGAGATTGAAAAAGTGCGTCAAACCCTCTACCCTGAGATGAGGAGAGCAAAGGCGGCAAAGCAGAGAGTGCGTTTGGTTCGTGATAAACTTTATATTAACAATGTGGAGTTTATTCCTCATAATAATTAAAGGTATTATCGCTCAATTATATTTAGTACGCATTTTATTATCTAATTGATTAAAAAATTAAATGGCTTCTATAAACATAAACAAAAAAATATGCTCTGCATGTTTTTGTGAAATAGCCATTGATAAACGCGGCATTGTTTGTGTGCTGTGTGGGAGGTGGTTTCATGCTAAGAATATCTGCATTAAATCGCCTCTCACATGTCAACAAACGGAAATCGAAACATGCCACTTGTGCTTAAGCGACTCGCTACCTTTTAGCTCAATAGATGATATAAACTTTAATTTTACTTTTGGAGATTTTTCTCGACTCCCCAGTGATGAGGATATGGATAGATTGATGCAACTTAAATTTAACCCTTTTGATAACGCACACACAACTACTGATAATGTTGATTACGACAACAACATGCTTCCTAACATTGATAATATTACATGCAAATACTACCTTCCAAATGATGTTTCGCGTGACATACCAAATAGTAATAATAACCTATTTTCTATTTTGAATTTAAACATAAGAAGTATAGTAAACAAATTTGACTCTTTCAAATTTTTGTTAGAATCACTTAAATACTCATTTTCGATAATTAGTTTAACAGAAACATGGCTTGATGATGAAAACTATACAGATTTTAAGTTAGAAAATTGTAGCTTCATTAGCTCAAACAGAAACAATAAAAAAGGCGGAGGAGTTGGAATGTTTATTTCTGATGATATAAATTTCAAACTTCGTCCTGACCTTAATTTCAACGAAGAGGGAATAATTGAATCGCTCTTCGTTGAAATAATTACAACAGTTGGCAAAAATATTGTTGTTGGCACGATCTATCGACCACCAAAAGGAAAGTTTGAAATATTTGAAACGAATTTAAGCAAAATTCTTACTAAAATTGATAAGTCAAAAAAAATAACTTACTTAATGGGCGATTTTAACATTGACCTCTTAAAAACTGAAAGTTGTGACTTTTCGAATAGATTCAGTGAGCAACTTTTTACGTCATCATTTTTACCTCTTATTACAAGACCAACTAGGATAACTGAACATACCGCAACATTAATTGACAATATATTCACTAATGATCTAGAACAAATTGAATCCAGTAAGAATGGATTAGTTTTTAGTGATATATCAGATCATCTTCCAGTTTTTCATATTGCATCTTTCCCAACGAAAATGTACAGTTCTAAAGTTGAAACTTCGCAACATCAAAGAATAGTCAATAATGCCAGTCTTCTATTATTTTCTAATTCTGTGAAAGATATATCATGGGATACTATTGTTGAAGACAATGACCCCTCTGAATCATACAAGAATTTCCATAATAAACTAATACAAGCGTTTGATAAAAGCTTTCCTTTAGTAAAACGGCAAAAACGAAATATAATTAATTACGATAAAAGCCCTTGGATGACTCAAGGTATTTCTAAGTCTATTGGAATTAAAAAGAACAAATTGGAAGTGAAAAGAACAAAACTATTTACAAAAATTACAAAAATAAATTAAAACATTTAATTAAAATTAGTAAAAAAGATTACTTTGAAAATCAATTTATTAAATACAAAAACAATAGCAAAATGACATGGCAAACAATAAATAAACTACTGAATAGAAATAAAAAGAAGGAAAAACTTTCCGGATGTGTTTCAACAAAAGAACTCAGATATTAATTTTTCTGACCCAACCGTAATTGCTAACAAATTTAATGAATATTTTGTAAATGTTGGTCCAAATTTGGCAAAAGGTATTCGAAAAAATGATACAGTATCATTTGAAAAATATCTCAAAGGAAACTATAGAGAGAGTATGTTTGCTGAGCCTGTTACTGAACTTGAAATACTGACTGAGATTGATAACTTAAATACAAATAAAAGTGCAGGACATGATAATATAAGTGCCAAAATGATAAAAACTATAAAACAAGAAATCTGAAAACCTCTTGCACATATTTTCAATTTAACGTTTGATACCGGAGTAATCCCGGAATCACTAAAAATAGCTATCGTTACTCCTATTTTTAAAGCAAATGAAAGATACCTGTTTGAAAATTACAGACCAATTTCAGTTCTCACATGTTTTTCAAAACTACTTGAAAAAATAATGCATAAAAGACTAATTTCATATATTGAAAAACATAATATTTTATCTAAACATCAATATGGTTTCAGGAAAAATCGGTCAACTGAACATGCTATAATTGAACTAACTGACAAAATTTCAAAAGCTATAGATGATGGTAAATATACAATTGGTATTTTCCTTGATCTATCTAAGGCTTTTGATACAGTTAACCACGATATTCTCCTAAAAAAACTTGAACATTATGGCATAAGAGGAAATTGCCTAAAATGGTTTGAAAGCTACCTACATGAAAGAATGCAAATTGTTAAATTTGGTCATCATAAATCAAACAAATTGATTATATCTACAGGAGTTCCGCAAGGCTCTATTCAAGGCTCTATTGAAAACTGTAGTAAAATTATATCCTTTGTTATGTATGCTGATGACACTAATGCATTTCACTCTGACAAATGCTTAAAATCATTAACACATGTTATGCAAGAAGAAATGAATGAAGTAATTAAATGGCTAAACGTGAATAAACTATCTATAAATACAACAAAAACTAAGTATATAATTTTTAAATCAAGAAATAAAAAATGCGACATTGAAATCGATATTAAACTTAATGATAACATTATACAACAGGCTTCTCATATCAAATTTTTAGGTGTAATTTTAGATTGTGAATTAACATGGAAAAACCATATAAATTCGGTTGCTAAACATATAATTAAATCTGCGGCACTTATAGCAAAACTGCGACATTACACAAATAAAAATACACTTAAGTTGATTTATTATGCATTGGTTTATCCATATCTTACTTATGGGAATCTAGTATGGGGTAATACGTACCCAACAAGGCTACAGAAAATACTGAATATACAGAAAAAAATTATCAGATTGATAAGTTTTAAATCGTATCTTGAACACACTGAGCCATTGTTTCAGAACTTAAAGATCTTGAATATCTTTAAGATCAATGACTTTTTAAGTTGTTTATTTATGTACCGGTTTAAACGTCTATACAAAACTTACCTGAATATTTTAATGGCTACTTCGCACAGAACAATGAAGTGCATCATTACAATACTCGAAATGCTAACAAATTTCATGTAAATTTTAGTAGAACAAATTATGCAAAACATTCTATTGTTAACAAGGGAGTTAAGATATGGAATTCACTCGATAATGAAATTAGCAGTATTACATTTTATTGTACTTTTAAGAAAAAGTCAAAATTATTTTTCTTGTAAAATATACTTTAATTGTTATTATCTGTAAACTTTGTTCAATTAGCTCATTATATTACTTTTACTTTAAAATTTTCCTTACTTTATACTTGTATTTGTAAATATTCCTATATTCTTTCGACATTATATGATTAACTTACCATATAAAACAATTGTAAAAATATTATAGAACTAGGAACCTTTGAACAAAAAGCCTGAAAGGGTTTCATGAAGGCTCCTAGCCCGTCATATTTTATTGTATACTTTAGATTGTAAATATTAACTTTTTCATATGGGCAAATAAAATTCAATTCAATTCAATTCAATTATATCTGGAAATGACGCCGAAACACTTTTCAAATGCATGAGAAAGGTGAACCTGCCGAATCTGGTAAATTCTTCAAATACCAGTCTAGTTCATGTATTTGCACCGCCATACGGACACCGTCTTGATTGCAATTTGTCGTTAGTCCGTCATAATGACCCAGTAAAAGTCCAGTACCATCATCATTATGGTACAAGTGAAGGAATTAAAGTATCCTTAAAGTGTAGTCGGTGCAAAATGTTTTATGGTTATTCAAAGTATGGCAACCCTGAAACTGGATGGAAATTGTATCCTGAAGCCAGAACGTCAGTAGAAGCATCTGATGTGTGTCTTGTGGAGAGATCGCTACTAAAATGGCAAATATCTTTAGCGTAAGTTTAATATGGGTTATGATTTTCAGTTTTGCACGAATACTGACTGCATCCACGATTTTTTTTGCATCAATACCGGCTGTGAATGATAACATGGCATGTTATTGCATGTTTGAAACTTCAGTAATTTCTTACTCGCGGAAATGATACTTGTTTGTAACTTTAGTTCTCTTTTTTTCTACGGTGCCTCAATTAAAATAGAAATCATAGTTGGGTGAGCTTTTCTGGGTTTCCACAGCATTCAATGAAGTATTTGATCAGCTTGGGTCCAAAGACAAAGGTATATATAATCGTGCATATATTACGTTTGCTCCAATGGCTGTAGTGCCTATATAATGCTTAATTGATAGTATATTAATATTTTAGCATATTCAGTTTCTGTTGCATGCTTAAGGCTCGCACAGCCTATATTATTAGAATATAGACCGGCCTATTACAACACTGTGTGCATGTGTATTGCGACACCTTTGACTGAATGCGGTATCAGTTTTTATCTGGACCAGAAAGTGAACGGCCGATTTAATATTGTATCCTGCCCGCTCTGACCTATTTTACTGCTTCTATTTATCAGCAGAATTACTCTAAAGGTTTCGTGCTCATAACTTCTTTTTAATGAGTTTAATGTCAATAGCGAGTCATTTTAGTTTGTTAGCAGTTTTAATGTCCTTATATAGTTCCCCGGCATATACTTACGTTTAATATCTTCTTTGGCTTCACAACTGCCTTCTGACTCTGTAGGTTTTGGAGAGAAACAATGTGCGGCTGCGTTTTGGAACGGCGAACTTGAGGAAGAGCTAAGGGAGAGTGGCACTTTAGAGTTTTTTGGATTGATGAAGAAAGATGATGATCGCGAAAAAATTATGGAAGAAGTAGACAAAAACAGAGCTAAATCTGTATATAAACATTCACAGGAAGATTGTTCAGAAGGATGCAAGACTAGAGGTTAGCATTATATATATAACAATATATTACATGTATATTAGCTACTTATATTGTAATTTGTACGGTATATACTCTTAGTCTAGGACCTGTATGTGAGTTTGTATGCGTTTCATTTACCACAGGTAATCTCAACTGTTTTAGGGTAAAATGACCATGGCGGTCAACATGGCATATGTGCCAAAACCTGAATCCTGGACGAAAGTCCTGAAAATGACCCCGCCCTGAAACGGCAGTGCCGACATAGCTCTAACTTCCGAAAAGCAAAAGCGACAGCCTTTCTGAAGTGCTTACAGTGTTTAGACGGGTTGCTTTTAGGGGTGGTTATTGGAAGGAAAAATTTGTGGAAGTATAATATTTTACAAGAAAATGACCATTTATCACCCCAGGTAAATTGCTGATTATGCAGAAAATAACTAATATGCCTGGCAGAAATTAAATATCCTTATTTCCTAAAAAAAATTACCATGGAATGAAAAACTATGCTTAATTTAATATAATTATTGCAGTTTTCATAAGGATAGTCACTGTTTTCTATAAATATAATATATTTTATTTCACTTACCCCCCACGAAAACACGATTTCGGCCATATTTTGCCATCTTGTTTGCTTTATATCGCTGTGTCTCACAAATAACATCCACTTGTTGACTTTTACATAATGGCAAATGGCTAAAGGAGATTTCAACCAAGTTTCGGCAAGTTTTGGAGCAGTGCAGTGTATTTTATCTTCGATATTGTGTCCTTCGATATTTCGTCCATATGCCGCCATTTTAATGGCTCGCCGATTCTCTGCCCGATAAATGCCACTTCTTCGTCTTCATATGTATTTAGATTACAGTATCCAAGAGTACTTCATTGTAGAATAGTCCTAAAAGAAAAATTGAAAAAAAATACTTGCACTTTGAAGGAAAAAACCTCCCACAACAAATTCAGGATAGGAATAAAAACAAATCATTTGAAAGTCACGCGCAATCTTCGCGAAAATTCCTCGTGGCTACTTGACAAGGGGGGCGAATATTTTCACGAAACGTTGTTCCCACAGCAACCTAACTGGATATCTAGATATATGATATTTATTGCATTTTTATGATTGATAATAAAAATACGTATATATTTAATGTTTTAATTTTTATTTTTAAATCATAAGATACAATAAATACAATATATTTAGACTAATTTAGTTGAAACTTGAATTGCTGTGGTGGCGAACAACGTCTCGTGAAAATATTCGCCCCTTTTTTCCTTCAAAGTGCAAGTATTTTTTTCAATTTTTCTTTTAGGACTATTCTACAATGAAGTACTCTTGGATACTGTAATCTAAATACATATGAAGACGAAGAGTGGCATTTATCAGGCAGAGAATCGGCGAGCCATTAAAATGGTGGCATATGGACGAAATATCGAATGACACAATATCGAAGATAAAATACGCTGCACTGCTCCAAAACTTGCCGAAACTTGGTTGAAATCTCCTTTAGCCATTTGCCATTATGTAAAAGTACAACAAGTGGATGTTATTTGCGAGACACGGCGATATAAAGCAAACAAGACGGCAAAATATGGCTGAAATCGTGTTTTCGTGGGGGGTAAGTGAAATAAAATATATTATATTTATAGAAAACAGTGACTATCCTTATGAAAACTGCAATAATTATATTAAATTAAGCATAGTTTTTCATCCCATGGTAATTTTTTTTAGGAAATAAGGATATTTAATTTCTGCCATGTATATTAGTTATTTTCTGCATAATCAGCAATTTACCTGGGGTGATAAATGGTCATTTTCTTGTAAAATATTATACTTCCACAAATTTTTCCTTCCAATAACCACCCCTAAAAGCAACCCTTCTAAACACTATAAGCACTTCAGAAAGGCTGTCGCTTTTGCTTTTCGGAAGTTAGAGCTATGTCGGCACTGCCGTTTCAGGGCGGGGTCATTTTCAGGACTTTCGTCCAGGATTCAGGTTTTGGCACATATGCCATGTTGACCGCCATGGTCATTTTACCCTAAAACAGTTGAGATTACCTGTGGTAAATGAAATGCATACAAACTCATATACAGGTCCTAGACTATCTCTGTATAGAATTTTGTAGCTTGTGTATAAACTAACACTGATTCGGAAAAAATAACAACCCATGCAGTTGGCTTAGCATTTCATATTGCTTTGACATTTGAGTTTTATTATACACTGAATTAAATATATATCTGCAGGTTGTGGAAGGCTATGGGTTGTCGATGGGCAGTGGAAACTTATGTTTGCACATTGCATGATGCAAAGGAAGGTATCAGCAATAAGTCAATATATATCATTTCTTGGCAATTGCCCGCGATGTATAGCTGTCAAAAATATTTCATACAGTATCCGCCGTATATTTAACAATTATACCATGAGCTCGAGTCGTATATGAGTTGATAGCCGATGAGTCACGAGTATGTATTTCATGTCATGCCAGTGTGCCTCAATATCAGCTCGTATACGACGAATGGTATAATTGTTTGATAATATATATAGTCCTTTAGAAATTAACTACAGATCATATCAAATCATAGAAGCCATGCACGGTTTATATAATTATATTGTTGCTCTTTTTGGCACTAGAACTTTGTTTGCGGACTTCCACTTTTAAATTATCCAAATGTGTGCACAAATTCGCCGAAGCACGGAAAGGCATTTTGTATTGAACATCTGGCATACCTGAGCGAGAAACACCCAACTGTCCCCACTGGCATTCGTGAATTTTTAAGCTATTGTGGCGTACATCGTGCTAATGCAGGTACAATAAAATACCATAATTATACTGTACAGTATATAGTGTATATGAGTACACATGCCATGTATACGGTATACTGCATGCATAATATGTAGTACTTTTCCGTTTGATGTATATACTTTTATAGGCATATTATGTACTGTTTAATAAACAAGCAGGAGTGTTTTATTAGGTTTAAAGCCACGAGCGCACAGCGCGAGTGGCTTTTAGACCTAATAAAACACGACCTGCGAGTTTATTAACACATGACTACAAATTCAATAGATATACTGCCTTATTAGTATTCTTTATATAAAGAATTACTAATGAGGACACGACTACAATAGATACTGCCTTATTAGTATTCTTTATATAAAGAATACTAATTAGGAGTGTTTATCAGGTTTAAAGCTACTGCACGTGACATATTATGGTTGACATGATTTGCCAATAAGCTTATGAATTATTAATGATTGAAATTGAGTTTAATGTTTGACTGATCTACTTTCGATGTTCTACAAAGCCTAAAGGCTATCCAGCTAAGCATTACTGATATATACATAGGTCATAGGCGTACGAGACAGGGCAACTGCCCCCCCCCCCCCAAATGGTGAAAAAAACATGGAAATTCGGGAAAATGCTAGGAAAAATTAAGAAAATTCGGGCAGATTTATCAGAAAATATGTTAA